ACTATATATATATATATATATATATATATATATATAATATGAGATCTATTTTCACTCATAATTGTGAAGTTTAAAGCTCTGCATAAATATTTGAAAATCTTAAATAAATGATCTAACTAATGAATTACAAGATGCATTATTTTTATAACTTGAATCGATATCCATGCATATAGAGGTCGAGATCGAGAAACATCAAGGCAATCATTTTCGGTGGTTCTTGAGGTGTGCACTTTATAGTACAAGGTTAATGCCTTAGAGAATCACAACCTTAGATCATCTTAGCATATAAGAGAGCGTTGCTCAATTTGGATGATAACCCACTGTGAACCTTGTTCATATCCATTTTTAACCAAATATTCTCACAATGAACGGCATGGATGACCCAGCCACATGTGTGTCCATGTATGTAAATGTAGGCCTCTCTTGTTGAGACTCGTAAACCAAAACTAATAATTATAAAAGGTTGGGATTTTTATTCAGCAATGACTTTACAATATTTACTAAAGAGGCACCTCAAAACCCCACCAGAAAATGTAGTTGCATTGGAAATCCTTGTGATGGATTGTTAATCTATTTATATATTACAAGATGGATTATTGTTACATTTTCAACTCATTTTTCCATAACCATAATACTTCATATCAAAATTATCAATCTACAGGTTTTCTATCACTTAAATTACATTTTAATTTGAGATGTGGAGATATTGTAAAATGCTTTCCCATAGAAAAACTCCAAAAATATATTTAAGCCTAAAGAAACGAGAAAAAAATCCCTAAATCAAGATCAATAAATTTAACAAATTTATACACAAGAGGTTAGCATCCATGCACATTAGTGGTCAAAATAGAGGTCTCAATTGATAAGAATATAGGGCATTTATTTGTTTTGATTGAGTTAGACTGGTTTTCTTATAGTCATGAGATACTATGATCTTCATAGATACATAGAACATAACATTACACCAGCTGATGGTTCCTCTCATTTTATATCGCTGCCCAACCACTGATCGGATGGCGATCGGATGGCGATAAACCTGGATCTTCCATAGTCGCAAGCATCCACCAAAACATTACCTATCTCTCAATACCAAGTTCCACTCTCTCGAGAAGGGGCTGGGGGCATAGTGGTATCACCCAGCACTTAGTAATCACATTGTGATTTTCATTCCTACCACTAACACCAACCCAATAATATTTTAAAAAAGCTAACTCCTAATCTACTTAAAAAAACAACCCAATAATACCTTCAAAAAGCTCACTCCTAATTTACTTAAAAAAACAGGTAGAGGCTTGTCTTCTCCACTAAATTACCCAAAAAAAAATTCCACTCTCTCCACCACCATCCAAACACTGATTAGATGGTGAGAATGAGATTCTCATATAACATGTACTTCATGGTCTTTAGGATCATGATATGCATCTCTTCCTGCAACGATCCCATTAATGCCACTCAAAATACTCCCATCCATATAACTCATGGTTCTTACCTACTTCTGTTGCGTTATGATGTAGATATGGGTGTCAACAAATGCTAACACCAATTTAGATTTTTAGACCTAATATATATTTACATCTTTTAAAATTGTAGTAAACTTTAATGTTAATTGTATGATTATCTTAAAAGATGGATTCAGGCTCTAACCCAACCAAGGCTCGAGCATGAGTCCCCTCGGCTCGACTCAAGCGATTCCTAGTCAAATCAAGATCAAGGAATGTTTATAAGAAAGTTGTATGACTTATAAAAAATCTGGGTGGTAATGTGACTCCAGGGTTCTTTAGCTCAAATTTGCTTGGCTCTCGATCTGGTACGACTTAGGCAAATCTCGAGTAAGACATGCAATTTTTGAAATGATGTTTTAAAGCTTCAGCCCGAAAAACGTGTTCGATTTTCCAATATCGATAAATTGAATTCCCATACAACGCAATATTTATTCCATAATTTACAATGAACACCTACTGATCCCCGCGAAGAATAAAGAGCATTTTAAAGGTATTTTCATGAAAAATAAATGGGATTTTAGTAAGTTTTACAATAAATACGGTATTTGTAATTCTCTCTGACATCGCTGAACACACGTCGTCATATAATATAATTTTTTAAAATTTTTTATTGTTCTCAAAAATTTTTTATGTTTAAATATAAATTTTGGCTTATATATAATTATTATTTCAGATATAAATAAAAATTACACATTTTTTTTTTAAAATATTGGTGACAAAGCATACCTGTAAATAACCCCCCGAGCCTCGCCTTCACCAGAGCGATTCTCTCTTTCTCTCGCTCGCGCTCGCGCTCTTCTTTCTCTCTCTAAAACTTATCTCATTTCTCTCTCTTCTCTCTCTCCACTGTGAATTTGATTCTCTGATTCCTGTTTGTTTCTTGAAACAGGAATCAGAGAATCAAGGCTCACCCTCGTTTTCTCCACAGTTTCAAAAACCACCCTCCATTTCTCTCTCTAAAATCTTATCTTTCCCCTAGCATTGCATCCATGCAGCTGCGCTCTTGTTCTTGATCCAACAAAGAGAAGGAATAAGGGAAAAAGGAGGGAAATTTTGGGAAAATGGGGACCGATGGAGAGAATAGCAATAAAATAATCGAGGGGTGGTTATATTTGATTTGGTCGAACCGGTTCGGATTGCAGAGCTCTTCGAAGAGGTACTTCGCTCTCAAGGAAAACCAGTTGAATTGCTTTAAGGCTCCACCTGTATCAGACAGAGAGGTAATTTATGGGTATTTTTTATGAATTTCTCATTCCTTGTTTGATATTTATGGTTTTTTATTGCCTTGTTGATCTAGAACACGTTTTTAACGCAAATGGTGATTGTTTGATTATTTGAAATAATTGGGTTTTGTTGGCTGAGCTGAATTTTTGTTCTCTATTAGTATCTATATAGCTCTCTCTCTCTCTCTCTCTCTCATTATATTTGGTTTGTATTTTAATGCATATAGATGACCTTGATGACCTTGGTCCTTGGTTATAGAGATATAGATGTTTTCCTTTGTTCTATGCTTTAGATACAATGATAATGTTTGGTGGTAGGGAGACATTAAATTAAAAACAATCTATTTTTCATTTTTTTGGGTGGATTATTTTTCAAAAAGAATTTCCTTTTCATTTTCATCGATGATTTTTCTTATATATTTATTGAAACTGGTGTTGCAATGGATCCAAGAGAAGTTGAGATTATCATTTCTCAAAAAACTTCAAAATAAGATCATTGGGATTATTTATTTATTCTTTTTTTGGTTATTAATTTTTGAAGCCTTTCTGGAGTTGGTCTTGCTTTATAAAGAAAATTAGGTATTGCCAGAGCTAATGATGGGAGCTTCTTTTTTTTGTTTGGGTTTTAATCGATTTTTATTTTATTTTTGTGTTGTATTAAGGTTGGGGCTTTTGTTTCACCTTATGTTTTGGTCTTTTAGGATTTTGATTACTTGCAGAACCATTGTTTCTTCTGCAATCTTTGTACTTCTGAACTCTCTCTCTCTCTCTCTCTCTGTTTTTTTAATTTGTTTAGTTGGAATTATCGCACTGATGTTCAATTACTTCAAGATAGGAAATGCCCATTCTGTGCCCAACCTGGAGCCAGTCTTTCTCACAATTTAGTAATCCAACACCATAAGCTTAAAAGTTTAAGTTTAATCTGGCACATGCTGTTATTTGCTTTTGTTCACCTTTTCATTGAGCATTATAATTATATTTCCTCCATAGAAAACTGTTCTTCAGAGATATGGGTAAATGTGCATTAAAAAAAGATGAAAATAAACTCAATCAAATTATATTGCGTGCACTGTAAAATGGTCATAAACCATACTAATGATCAGAGGACAATATATTATCTTAAATGTAATAGAGAGCATTGAGTAAAATAATTGAAAAATCTGAATTAGTGAAGAGATCCAGATAACGAAACAAGAAAAAGAGGTAAATCTAGCACCAAGGTACTTGGAAATGACATTCAGAAAAATGTGCTTCATTTTTACCGTGCCAAAAAAGAATGCTTCATTTTTTCATTTATCATACATCTTAAGCACCAGGAATCACTTACTTTTGATGGCTTTCTGGTGTAGTTCCAGGACAAATTATGATGTCTCTTCAAATTCTTCTAACCTTACAATTCTCTGAGTGTTAATAATATACCTCCAATTCAAAGCTATTCTATTAGTTTATCTTTTAAACTGAGGGAAGACGTGTAAGGTTTTTATTTGTAGTTTATGTTTTGTATATTTGAATTTACTTTATATATATATATATATGCACTAACTTCTTTTTTCAAAAAACTTTATCGTAAGAATGCATGTTCTTTCCACTTGTTTAAACCCTGTCTCCATTGATTAGATGCATAATACCTCAAAAGTGTCTTGTCAATTGATAACATCATATAAACTTGTTCAAGGTTTTAAAAATTATTTCTCGATATTGCTTGACTTTATAGTGTATTTATGCTAGGTCCTACATCTTTTGATCTACATTAACTTGCTTTCCAGGACCCTGTAAGAAGTGCAGAGATTAATTCCTGTGTACGTGTTACTGACAATGGACGAGAAAACGTCAGTAGAAAAGTATGCTTATTCTCTTGGTATTCAATTTCAGGGATTCATGTGTAAGAGAGAGCTCACGCATGTGTGTGTGAGTGCACGTGTGCATGTTTGAGTGTGTGTGTGCAAGCATTTGTGAGTGTGTGTATGGGGGGAGGGTGTGTGTGTGTGTGTGTGAGAGAGAGAGAGAGAGAGAGAGAGAGAGAGAGAGAGAGAGAGAGTATTTAGCTATTAC